CAACCTCCATCGGATGTCACCATCATCTATGTTGTGACTAGGTTCATCGAGACAATTAAATGTGATGAAATCCAGTAGACTTCGTTGCTTTAAATCTTCATTGTAATTCTTTGATTACTTGAACAACTAACAGCAATATCCTCAACAATTTCGACATATTTTCGAACCATTTTCATTCAACAAGGTGGTATAGTGGTATATTGCAAAATATGTTTCTGTCTGCACTCGGTAATTATAATGAAAAGCTTGAACTGCCTTCTCTCACTATATTTTTCTCGTTAATATTGCTAGTATATTAACCCCTAACTCTGTTTCGCAGCTGTTGATTGTCTACAATTGGCGAGCCAGGAGGGTCTGCAGTTCAGCAAAAGAGATTCCCCTTGTATTTAGGTATTTCTCTTTCTCCATAGAAAACCATGTTTTTATTTCTACTTCCATTTCCATCCTTCATTGTTTTGAAACTGTCCGAACTAATTTTCGCGACTTCACGCACAACTTCTTAAGGTCATCTTTTTCTGGCGTCCTCATCTGACTAAGTTCAGTTTATTCCATTCACACCCTCACCTGTAGTTATTTTGACTCCACTATCTCACACTCTCACCTGTAGTTATTTGAAAGAAAAAAACTCCACTATCTCACACTCTCACCTGTAGTTATTTTGACTCCACTATCTCACACTCTCACCTACAGTGATTTTGACTCCACTATCTCACACTCTCACCTGTAGTTATTTTGACTCCACTATCTCACACTCTCACCTACAGTGATTTTGACTCCACTATCTCACACTCTCACCTGTAGTGATTTTGACTCCACTATATCACACTCTCACCTGTAGTTATTTTGACTCCACTATATCACACTCTCACCTGTAGTTATTTTGACTCCACTATCTCACACTCTCACCTACAGTTATTTTGACTCCACTATCTCACACTCTCACCTACAGTTATTTTGACTCCACTATCTCACCTACAGTTATTTTGACACACTCTCACCTACAGTTATTTTGACTCCACTATCTCACACTCTCACCTACAGTTATTTTGACTCCACTATCTCACACTCTCACCTACAGTTATTTTGACTCCACTATCTCACCTACAGTTATTTTGACTCCACTATCTCACACTCTCACCTACAGTTATTTTGACTCCACTATCTCACCTACAGTTATTTTGACTCCACTATCTCACACTCTCACCTACAGTTATTTTGACTCCACTATCTCACACTCTCACCTACAGTTATTTTGACTCCACTATCTCACACTCTCACCTACAGTTATTTTGACTCCACTATCTCACACTCTCACCTACAGTTATTTTGACTCCACTATCTCACACTCTCACCTACAGTTATTTTGACTCCACTATCTCATATAGATACACAATGATATATACTGTCATACGATATATAATAGATTACCCGGGATAAATTCAAACGCTTAATGAAAAGCACACGTCAGACAAGGGAGGAAGTTAGATCCTAAGGTATGCCAATAACCCATTGGAGGGTTTACCACCGAACTACACGAAGATATTGTCCAACAGAAATTCCGTCATTTTCACAATTTCGTCCTTTCTGAATTTCTTCTTTGCTTTGACGTAACAATAATATATCTGTACTGCTGTTCACTTTCTTTGAAAAGAAAAACTTGAGAATAAAGGCGTCGCTGTACAGTTTATAGATCAAATATTTTTATAGAAGAAATAATGTTTAGGAGAGAGGGCTGAACATTGTTCATTTGTTATAGTATCTTAAGACAGATAAAAACCAACAAATAGTCACCATTTAAATTTTGCACAATAGTTACAGCTACCTTGTATTGTAATATTTTCGGTTCAACCCTCTTTGAGCTTTTTATCCTTAATGAGTTTTAAAAAAATTCAATATGAGTTTTTCAATACTTACCTAGGAAAGCAAATCCTTGTTTGCCTTTTCCCTCCCTTCTTATCGGAGAGGCAGTATGGTATCAATCATCAAAATATAATAAAACTATTATCATTCCGTAGCACCTGGTCTTATTCTGTTTGTACATTTTCAGTGGTTAAACTATTATCATTCCGTAGCACCTGGTCTTATTCTGTTTGTACACTTTCAGTGGTTTCCTTGTAAATTTTAATTTCGTTTGCATAACTATTAGGTGAAATAAGTGTTAATCAGGTTGATAACGAGGATTTTCCTGTGTTGTCGTAGCGTGATGTTAACTATTGCTCTACAGTACATCGGCTTGTACCATAGGGATACTACAGTCACACACGTGGTATCGGTGCTGATAATTTGTCGTAATGAACCAGTGATAATTCCCACAACATTTCAAGCGTCCGCAGATTTATTTCAATTGATCTCCCACCAGTAGAGTGTTTTCTTTTCAAATATTACATAAGAATTCAATCAGTTTGAGATTCCATCACGAAGAATGACGTGGGCAATGAATGTTACACTATTATTGATAAAGATATTTTTAAAATTTATTTCACAAACTGGAGAAACTAAACATCTTTTGTCAAAATCAGTCTATCTCATAATGAGGCGTAGACGCTCTGTTTATAACGTAATTTTAACTGATACAGTTTTAACGTAAACTACGTCTTTTATTCTGCTAACCATGACGTTTTAACAATGTCTCGTAAGCCGAATCCGGCTGGACATCATTTTTGTTTGGCAATAATGTGTTTTATTTTAAACTACGATGTGTTACACTATAATAAAACAGTATTATATTGTCAATTCGCTAATTTTCCTGAAATAAAAGTTTACATATTTCCCTGTGTTATTATATTTTTTTCATACGTGTGTGCGTGGTACCAGATTCAGTTAGTAAGACAAGATCATTCGTCACACACTTATAGCAAAGACTATGTCGCCAAACCTCGGGGTCCAAATATATATAATTTGTGAAAAGTTCGATGGTTGTTTTATTCTCTTTCTTTTCAAACGTTAGCTGAGATAGTCAAGAGGTCGTTTTCATTCTCTCGTCAATACTAAGAACGACATGTATTACAGCCACATCATTCTTCCTTCTTCACTGGATCTCCTTTTGTACAACATCTTGGTCCTCCCGTAAGATGTCGTCCGGCATTGTTTTGTTGTTCATTGCTTCGTTATTGTAATCTATGTTGTAATGTTTATTATTCGGTATATTGATCACCAAGTATGCCCTCACACATACCATAGGTTTGCATATTTCCCGTGTTCGATATTCGAATGCTGGTTACAAGTATGCTTAAATCAGTTTTTATCAAACAAAAGAAATGAAATATACTCTATTGTTATTGTTTAACACTGTATGGAGATAGCATCGATTTTTTTTACAAAGAGAAATAATTTACCTCATAATTTCTATAGAATAGTCAGGGCTCGATGGGCGATTGAATTTTTATCTTTGATAAATAGTTAGGGAAAAACCACGTTTATCTAGATCACCATAATCTTAATTTGTAACCAAGCACGTATATCTGAGTGCAAGAAATGAGTTCGTCAACGATTTTTGTCACAGTACGAAATAGTATTTCTACAAAATCAAAATGATACAAATAAATAAATAAAAAAAATCCAACCCGACTGAAAGAAAAAAGACGTGCTGTATGCTTCTTGTTAATTTCGTTCTCTATTGTAACGTGATACTGTTGTGTGTATATCAGAGAATGGGGACGTGGAGAATATAATGAAGAGACAATAAAAATATGAGCTCAAGATTAAATTAAGAAAACTAATGCAAGAATCAATAAGACTTTTCGATTTTCCAACTTTGTTAGTTTTTAAATATTTTAGTTCACCAAGAACCGCCAGTAAATCATCCTTTAAAGGTCATCGTCGATTTTACAAGATTGTCTCCTTCTTTTATACCCCCAATATTTTATTGTATTAGTATGACTACAGTCAAGTGTTTTGTGTACGTTTTTTATGTCGGATAGTAAATATTCATCCATGCCGAAAGTAGTCCGCGCCGGTAAACCAACGCCGCAATGTATAAACTACCACAATATTCGATTCATACAGCTAACACAACAGCGACGCCACGCTGTATATCGACTGCTAAAAAATCGTGTGGGGCATATGTGATCACTGTGGCTTTACCGACGTATCCGGCTCTCTGAAAATAGATTTAATGATAAATTGGCTTTGTTATTGTTTACTACGATATGTCGTCTATAAATATGTAAATTTGAAGAATTTTATTTAATAAAACTTTAAAATCATGCCCGAACTTTCCTGTGTTTCCCTATTGAGTTTCGATGCACGTGTTGATAAGTACAGTCTCGTTAAACTAGAGCATGTTTACTTCAAGTTATCTGCCCATACTCCGTTGCACTCGCTAATACGACCTTCCGAACTCAAACCAACTTCAGCATAGCCTGCGCTTGGTTTCTATGTTGTATAAACCGGTACGTGGGGTGGTGTTTTATAACGGGAACAGCCACAAAATACTTTAAAGCAATTTATTTTTACAATTTCGAGCGTATTATACTTATTTCTTTAAATTTTTCGATCTGCAAAGTATTTCTCTGTGTTCTAGGATACATAAATTGACCCGAAAGTCTAAAGTCATATGTGATGTTTCGAGCCATATTATCGAAGAGAAAAAACGAAAGAGATACATTTGCGTGCTCAATAATATCAGGTCTGTCGCCGTATTGACGTCAGTACGAAAGCCCCTATGGCAAATTATGGCTGTTCCTTTTACCTCCCCGCGATAAGCGTAATTTCTTTTTATTTCCCGAGATAAGGGACTATTTTCTGAAGGAATTGCTTGAAAATGTCGACAATTTACCATTAACACGAATTAAATTGATAAAGATATTAAAATTAAATACAATTTTTAGCCAAACATTACACAGTTTCATAACATAGTGCGGGAGGTGTATTGATCAGCTAATTGAAACAGCAGTATTGAAAAGAATGCCTTAGACGCATTACTGCCAGAAAATTGTGTTTATCCGCTGAGTGGACAATTTACGAAAAAGAATTCCCGAATTTGTTTGAAGGAATACCGCTTGATGATAACGTGTGTTTCAACTCGGGAAACGTGTTATGTTAGGTACACAGGTTATTAGTGTTAAAGTTAGTGACTCGGATTGGCAATAAGTATATATAATACAAATGCGGAGGAATCGCTTTGATCTTCCGATATTCCCGCTTATTGAAGTGTACCGCATAATAGCACTATGTATGATAAGACCATGCTGCCATCCGACTAAGTTTTACTGTATGTATATTCACCCCAAGTGCACGACACATGAGGAGTGACAGTTTTGGACAGAACTGTGAATGTCTGGAGGAAGAGGAATATGCTTGAATGCCGATTTATCTTCGTCCTTGTCGTCCATTTGGGTGGGTAAACAGCATTATGCTGGATCAACTCAACTGCGTGAATAACAAAGACGGGGACTCAGAGCAGTCGGACCATTCCCGACTGTCACCAACTTTTCGGTAAGTGTTTATAATGGAACATGTCAGTCCTGTTGAAAGCCAGGAAAGATATATGTTGAACAAAAAGCTTAGATCACCAAATCAACTTGGTGAAAACAACACAATGGACTCGTTTCAAGATGGAGGCCAGCAAAACATGAACACTGAACAGAATGATTTCATGAATCCAATGGACGGGCCCCACATGAATGCAGACATGAACAGTTACCCCCCATCGTCTAGAGAACAGATGATGGGGGTTGACAGTTACAGCAGAATGAATCAAAACATGCATCCTAGTCAAATGTCTGGTTATAATGCCTACAACCGAGAAAATTTCAACTCTGGCGACCAACAACATGGCGGTATGCAGATGACAGGAAGTGGCGATTTTGCAAATCAAAATTCGCCTTTCCCGGGTCAGTATTCACAATCCAATGCCAGGTCAGGTTTTCAAAGCAATGTCAAGCCTGTCATGGGCTCTATACGACCAGGAATGGCCCCACCAGGAGGGGGCATGATGCCAGGGTATCCCCAGTCACAGAGGAATATGTTGTCAGGGCAAAGTATTTCACAACAAGGTGGTCCAACCCCTACGCTGAATCAACTATTACAGAACCCTAATGCACCCCCATCAAGGATGCCATCAAACAGTTATGACTTTCCTCAAAAAGGGGGTATGGACATGGGGAACCCGAACATGCCATACGGAATGCAGCATGGTTGGGGAGGGAACCAGCGACCCATGGGAAACTATCCTCAAGGTCCAATGTCGATGCCGGGAACGCCTTATAGAAATCAGGTAGTGTATATTGCCATTTCTTCCCTACTTTCAGTTTGTCTCCCACTTCTCATCTGACTGACTTGACAGCTCCATTGTCCATGGTTTATAATCCCCGCCATTGATATAAATATAATCTTATCAGGTGATTGCACAATGGCACTACATGCTGACAAGTGCAGGGTCGATGTTTTGGTCCCACAGTGAAAGCTAGCACACTGCATTGTTTACATCTTGGTGTACATGTTGCTTGCTCCACATGCCAGCAATCAATGTTTAAATTTGGAGGCAAATTCCAGCCTTTGAAGATATGGACCAATGTGCTAATGCTACACTCTGATTGGCTGATGCCCCCATGTCAAACAATCAATTAATCACTGTGTTGGGATGATCTATTTCATATGTCAAGTGATTCAGATGGAAGGGAAGTCAAATGATAATAGAGCAATAAATAAAGAAATAGGGTTTTCCCCAGATTTATTTTCTCTAGGTGGTGTTTTGTGATGTGTACATGTTGCATCCTTGCATTTTTTATTCATGATGCTGGTCAGCTTATTTCACATTTTAAAACTGTTCAACAAATTCTATATACATTTTCTTAGAATTCTTTCTCAAATTAATGAAGTTTTGTATGAATATTTTTTCGGTTGACTTTGTTGGTTTTATGCACACTTCAATGACGAACCTTTCAAAATTTTTTAATTTTGTTGAATATTTACAACTTAATAAGTAGTTAAGCTGTTTTCACAAGATTTGTAAGTCAAGTACTCTCGGCATTTAATGACTGAGAATACAAGCATCATCTACACATCATGTAATAATATGATGTGATAATTGTTTAATGAAATGGATTCTGTAACCCTTTGGATAGAAAGGGGATATTTAATGGTTTGAGCTGTAATATATATATATATGTCATTGATATGACAGAATTTCAAATTGCATGAGTGAAAAGTACATCTGTATTCTGTCATGCTAGTGAAATGTGATATTGAAGTGAAACAATAAAATTTTCTCTTTATTATATTTTTATTTAAGAGAAAAAACCCTAAAGATAAACAAAACAAAAACAGTGATCCAAACATAGCATAAGTTCTTGGAATATTAGCTATCCTTCGTAACATCAGATGTTGAGAAGACAATGCTATTATTAATTGACAGATGGTTTTCTACCTTTTTGTGATGTTTTCTGTCAAGACTTTGTTCCAAAACATTTTTATATACCATATTTGAGAAAATAAAAAATGCATATGGACAGCTTACATAGAAAGCCAACTTATTCAACTTTTGCTTAATTTGCATTCCAAGTAGAAAATCTGCAAATTTCAAAGCAGTGATTAGAAAGCATCACTCGAATTGGTCTGAACCACAGAAGTCATATCATCAACATCACTGCAGTGATGATTTTCTGTCATAATCAGATTGATGAATTCTTATATTTCATCGGCAAAAATGTTACAAAATGAATATCACATACCAACATAATGATGGAATCATGGAAGTGGTAACTTGGATATTGTTGGCAAATTCATTTGTCATTTAATTGAGCAAAGATGTAACCTGTCCATGATACAGGTATATTATACAATTATAAAACAATTAAGTTTGTGTAGTCAACTTCTGTAAGCCAACCATTTACCTAACCAGCAACATGGATAAAAATTGGGATGAGTGTGATTTTCACTCAAGTTTTCAAACATTATTTTTTGTCATAAGTTATATGGAGAAAAATGTCCTTTAATGTGATCACATATACAAAAGAGCCTCAAATATTCTCAAGGATGTAATATATAAAGTAATAGATAGTGTCATAACTTTCAAGTTGTACTATGGTAGACATTTGTTTGTATGATTGCATTTATATTTGATGCATCTTTCTATAAATGGGCAAGTTTTGGCTTATAGTGGAAAAATCAGCTAAATATGCCTTTACCATAAGCCAAGGGAAATGAATAGCACTCCTTGAATGTTGCTTGTGGTTTACATTTCTTCTTGTTAACTGAACAAAGGAAAAGAAAAGGTATTTGATTAAACTGGGCAAACACTTGGTTATGACTAGTTTGGTAAAACTAGATAATAAACAAGTATGCAATAATGTGCAGTTGGGTAACCCAGTTGTTTTCCTAACATGTTTATTTTATTTCGTTTGCATATTGAAGAAGTGCTAAGTGCTTCTCTATCCTGTAATGTGTGTGTCCCAACACCAGCATTTCTCTACAGACAGCATTTCTTTTCCAATTGTCACTATACTACACACAAATGTTTAGAAGCATCACCTCTTGTACGAGTTTATAAACCAGGTCACCATTACTATAAATAGAAATTAATAATTTCTGCTCTACAGGATGAATTTCTTTTTACAATATTTCATACATGTATTCTCATGTATCATCTCTTGTACAAGTTTGCCTTTCATTGTTCTGCTGAAAAAGCATATGTCTCAATTATATTTAAATAATTGATTCCAGAGACAGAATTCTGAAGTCAATTTTGTGCTTCATTTTAATGTTCTAAATTGCGATAAAAAGTGACCATTTAGGTTCATACCATACCTTTCTCATGAACAGACTTGCCTATGAAGCAGGCTTATTTGCTAAACATTTCTTTTTACCCTTAGGATTTCATTCAACCTTGGATGCACACTATTCAACTTGTAAACTATGCTATGTTTCTATTAAGTGCACCATAAAATAAGAACAGGGAAACAAAAAAATGTTTACAGAGTGAAAAGTAAAACAAGACCCAAAGTGGATCATATAGCAGAAGTTAACCTATGACATAGTGACCTGCTTGTCTTTGTTTCATCATCAAGTGTGATGACGTAATGATATGTTCAAAACCTGAAATAATATGGTTTTAATGTACAATGCATTGGAGATGTCTGATCCAGACATGTACATAGTAACTCCATCAAATGCTTTAATAAAACAATATAATAGGCACAAATTGTGTTTTGTTTTGGTCAGTTGGGCACTTGTTACCAACTACACTACTCTTGGTGATCATTCTGATGCAAGTCACCTCAGTGACAGGATGTTTGGTCCAGAGATGAATAATATATATATAGATATATATATATATTGATAGTGTCCATGTTGCGATAAAGGGAGATAAATTGTATTAAATATCAAAGTACCATTTCACTATTTGAATGTGTGTGAAAATTGAGTACAATCTAATGTGTTCCAGTGATTCAAAATTCAAGTGAGTTAAGGATAGAATAATTTTGGACTGAAAATGACTGTTTTATTGGAAAGGAAAAAGGAAGTAAAACATGTTGGAATTATCGTCTATTCAAAATTGCCAGAAGTTTACTGTAATGCCAATCTACTCTCTGCATACTGTTATGTTATTAAAGTGTATTTTTTATAGGATTTTTTAAAGTGAGTCCAGCCCACCAATTCCAGAATAAATATTCCCAATACTAAGACATTAATTGGCTCTCAAAATTTTAGCAAGCCCTATGGGAAAAGTAGGAGTCAAGGACTCGAATATCGGAGTTCCAAAAATCACCGACAAAATTCAATAAACTTATACAAGTTCTTTTATCACAATATATCCAACATGATGAAGAAAAAAATCAATTCTGTGATTTCTTGACTAATGATTATAATAAATGGAACCCCCTCCCCCATATTTTAGAATATTTCTCCTTTATGACTTAACTGATGGTAAAATAAATGTATGTGTAGCAAAATTCCAGAATATACAAATTTGTAATTCTAAAGCAAAATAATTAAGACAATCACTAGATGAACATGTGCTCTATGTAAGAAGGTGCTAAGATGAGCTTAAAAGACAAGTGTTTCAGAATGTCATATGACTCTTTCCCAGAGGGTGCTTATTGAAATTAATAAGATAGGTTTATCAACATTGACACATCAGTCAGTATTCCAAACAGGCCATTGTCTAAACTGATTAGTAGATTCCGATCTTGCTCGTAGGTTTTTGGAACTTTCCACTTTGATTTTGAGTAATATGGACTCTAATAATTAGAACTGTAATACTTTATTTTCATAAGCATAATTTTGAATAATTTGAACAGATGTAACATTTATTTAATTTTCCTCAGACTGCTCAAAGGTTTACAGTAATTTTCTAATATTTTTACTGATATTTGAAACCATGAATAAAGATGTGTCAAATCAGAAAGAAATTTTGTTGCTTTGCTTTGGATTTGCTTCAGCATCTAGGAGATTCTTTTGTCCTTCTAAGAATGGACTGCTTGATGTGATGGAGCGATTACAATGAAAAAATTGAAATTAACAAATTAATACATTAAAAAATGCTTTTTATATTCATGATATATGCATTAAAGTGACATTTTAAGTATGAAGTGAGATTTTATCAGCCCTTTATTGCCTTATACTTTTTTTTTGTAATCATTGTCGGTCACAGATTCTGTGTTTACAGTTTTATTAAATATTTCTGAACATCCAGAGGGTTAATTTCTCTAGGTTCATAGCTAATTTGTTGTTGTTGAAACAGGAGGCAATATATACCCACTGGTAGACTTTTTTTTTATTTGGATGTCATTCATTAGTAGATAGATATGGAATTAACAAGTAGTCTAATGTAAGATCCAATTGATATGGACATTAATCAGATGATTGGTTATTTTTAATGATTGACCAAATCACCCGTAATGGAAATGCAAATCTAACAAAAAAAAATAAAATAAGAAATATGTTAAGTGATGATTCAGAATAAGATATTAGCAATATATAGAATGGAGATGGCAAGTGTCATAGATATAGAATTACAGGTAGATTTCTGATGTGATAAAAGAAGTAGTTCCGTTGCACTGTCCATGTGACCAGGATTAATGTACTACTTGACACCACATGGAAAGTTGTTTACACACACCCACTCAGATTGTAGTCATTATGCTGATTAGCCATGTGCTTTTTCACAATCAGTCATTGGCTGTTAAAGAATGTAAACAGCCGGCAGATCTATCTTCTGGACTCTGAGTAATTGTGAATGGGATAATGGGAAGTTACACACACTTCGCACACATGGGGGTTCTTTTATGATTGGTATATATGAATGAATGACTAGGTCACAACCTATATGTGTTTTCCTGCCAACTTTATCTGCAGCTATTCATGCTACTATATACACATTCCGAAGGGGATTTACTATTAAATCCCTCGATGAAGAGTTGGTTTAATGGTAATTTTTATTGATTGAATGTGTTGATATGGCTGTTAAAAATCAGATTGATTATCTTTTAGATATAAATATTAAAATAACTGTGATATTTGATCAAAGCTGACACATTAATAAATAAGACTCATTAATTATGAATTGCCAGGTATTACTGTCATTTTACAGAAAACATTGATAATGAGAAAACTAAGATATAGATCATTATATGCTGCTGTTGCAATTAAGCTTCAGCATGATAGCAATAGATAAATAATAACATATGGTCTGTATTTAATTATTTTGAATTAATATTATCCTTTCATTGACGTAATCAGATGAAAACTTTTAGAGTCCAACTTATGTTTGCCCCTAAAAATTTCTTAAAAATTCATGGAGGTGCTCTTTTCAAGAGGAAAACTCACTATGATATTAATTGCTGAAAATTTCCAGTGGATGTTTTACCACTGTTTGATTCTATGATAACTTGATTGATATCATATTTGTAGGGATCTATTAGAAGGCTTTAGAAGATCAGATAATCAGATTGTCACAAGTCCATTACAGGAAATCAGTGTAGGGACTTTGTATTTGTTGGAATGTATAGATCTCTGATACTATCTACTTGGAAATTTTCCTAGATTTAGAGATGCTTTATGAGAAGGTGCTTTGCTGCATTTCAAAATAGGTCATTGTAATTCTATTTGGCCTGATTATCACACTTAAGAGGAAGTACTGGTACATCATCAGGTGTATTATTTACCATCATTTGATCTGATCTTGAGCTTTGTGTGCAGATTCTGGGCCACATTGTCCAAAGTAAAGATTCATGCATTGATATTGCAGTGTACATTTACATAATATAGTCATGTGTGTACTACCAAAGAACAATCTCTATTGGTTTGTTTTCAAACAAAAAGTGGAAATAAGGGGCATCATCTGAATTTGTTTCCAAATTGAATCGAATTAATGAGCTTTTTAGTGGGAAAAGTATGAATAAATATAGAAAAATTACTTATTTTCCTGCAAGTTTTGTCATGTCAGAAAAAGCAAGAATGGATTTTAGTAATATAAATAATAAAGGTAGAGACTGTATCCCTAATGTCTTATTTCAATTTAACTTGTATCTTTATATTCCTTTTTTCATTTTAAAGGCAAGTGAAACAGGAAATAAATGATTGTTGCAAATCATTAGTCACTGATGTGTATTTTGTGTAGAGGTTAGCAATAGGAAGATCGTTCTGGTGTAGCATGACAGGGATGTGTGTATGGGATAACATTTGTTTACATGATCTTCTTTTATGTCAAAATGTCAAATGTACACATTGTGGATGATGTTTAAATTTATGAAGATTCCAATGAAAGGTGATGCATACTTTGTGACACACAAAAGTGCAGGACATTGATAATAGATTGACATTATCTCCACATCATTCAATTTCTGCATAGCAAACCTTGATTTTTTCAATAAAAAAATGGGCTTTAGATTTTGTCCGCAATTTTTTCTATGAAGATAATGTGCATAAAACCAACAGTAGAGATGTCAAATTGCCATGTTTTTCTACACTTCCATTTTGATGTAAGCCACATTTTGTTAAAGACTTGTACTTGTTTTTTTACCATTTGTGATGCTGATGAAAACCTGTTTGCAGATTTCTTGTATAATTTGTTTGAAACTTTGAAAATTATATAAATGACAAAAAAAAACAAAAAAATTATTTTTAATTCAGAGCATGGGAGAAATGAACCAACCGAGACCCGGATATACTTCACCAGGCAACTACCCGCCACAGAGTCAGTATGGCCAACAGTTTTCACCCAATTCACGCTATGGCATGATGAGTAGTAGTTCCAGTCGCCCAAACCAGATGGGAAGCCAGGGATTTTCAAACCAGGTAAGAATAAAACTTATGGACTTTTAAAGAGTTGATTTGATCCATGATTAATTATAATACATGTCATTCTTTAATAAATTAATCCACAATATATGATTTAGTATTAATATTAAAACAATATTTATGTCAACTCTTTGTTATTGCTTTCTCCTTACAAAATTCACTATTAATTGCTTTGCCTTTCTTTGTAAAAGCTTTAATGAATAAAGATTTTTGTGAAAATAGACTGGCCTTGAAAATCCTTAAATTTTAGTATAAATAACATTTCAATCATTTAATGCCCTTTGATCTTTTAGGCATTGAATTTCTTCTTAAATTAGCTGGTGCAGGTTTTGTGTTTTGGCTTTTGGTTTGTGTTGAACTTGCAGAGTCTGTATGTTCATGCAAACACTAGGAACTTACTTATAAATTATCTACATATGGTTAAGTTTTAGATAAGCTCAATGATGGGAGTTTGATGTAACTTTCAAATTAATGAAATAAAACCCAACTTAAAATTGATGATTGAAATCAACAAAATCAGCTGAATGGTTTTATATTTGTGATTTCAACTTTTGTGTATAAGCTTCTACTAACATCACATGCTTTGATTCATATCTTACCAAAACATATGAAGAACTCCTGAATGTGTTGGCATTAATATAAAACAGCTTTGTATAGAGGAAAGGAAATTGAAGGAAAGTGAGCTTTTTGGTAAAAATTTGGGACTATTTGATCATTCAATAAAAGAAACCTACAGAACTCAGACAATTTTCTATGAAGACCTTCGCTTTTGTTGCATATAGGGTGTTCCTTATGGTCACCAGCAACAATATGGTCAACAACAGTCTAACCCTGTGTCTTCTGGATACTGTGGGTCACCCTCTCAACCTTCTTCTTCTTGCTCCTCCTTGCCTCAACCTCACCCTCCATCTCAGCAGCTACCCCCACAGATGTCAGGCCAGCCCCCAGGGCCCACTCCTCCTCCACCCGGAGCGCGACCGTCACCATCGCCATCTGAATCATCTGTACATTCTTTGCCACAACAATCATCGCCATCACCATCACAGTCTTCATCTACACGTCAACAGCAACAACCTCCAAACACAGCATCACCGTCACCAAAGCAGCAGCAACAGCCAGCCCAACCCACCAGTCAAAATCAACAGTCAAGTCCAGTTGTAAGTATTGTACTATCATGGTCTATCCCAACAGTCAGTTATATTGTGTAAATTCTTGTCCCAACTTTTTTACTTCAGCGTCGGCAGTAGGGTCAATACCCAATTTCATAAGCACTCTTCTTGCCCTTTGTGTCCCCATCCTTTCCAATATTCTACTTCAGTTCCCACCCTTTACTTTGCTCTTTTTATTGTAAAAAAAAATCCACCTTCTGTTCTATCTTTCTTAATCCTTTTATTCTCCCATTCTTCTTCCTACTTATTGTTCCAATCTTCCCTCATTCATTTCTTCCCAATCTTTTCCTTCAAATTCTCTAGTTGTTTACTTATTTTTCGCCCTTTCTATCTCGGTCTTCTTTCCTGATCTCAGGTCTTCCCATTCTATCTTGTAAATTTTGTGGTTTCATTTTTCTTGTGCCTTGGTCTATTCTTCCTTCAGTTTGTTTTTCCAATGTATCTAATTTCATCCCATTCTTCTTTCTACCTTTCTCATCATCCCTTTCCTTTTTAGCCTTTCTGATCTTAACTTTCTTTTCCCATTCTCTACTGTCGTCCCTCATCCTCCAATTCCTTTCCATTCTTACATATCTCATTATCCTATCTTGGAATGAGTCATTAAACAGTTGCATTTGGATAATGAGTCCCATGGAAAAGTTGTATTTGGAAATTGAGTCTTCCTGTGAAAACTCTTATTACCTCATCAATGTGTCTGCCATTGAACAGCTATATTTATACATAAATGAGTCACCCATTGAGCAGCTGTATTGTCTTTTAAATGAAGCTCCCGTTGAGCAACTGTATTACCTGATAAATGAGTCTCGTTGAGCAGCTGTATTATCTCATAAATGAGTCTTCCATTGAACAGCTGTATCTTATGAGTATCCCAATGAACTGATTTGAATATCATTGTTTATTGGTATCAGTGGTGTATTTATCCCAATATTGAGTTATTGTTTTGTCCCAGTTCTTGCCTAGTCCAAAGTGTTTTGTTCCTATATCAACAATTCTATGTTCTTCAGCATACTTTACCAAAATACTGTTTGATATAATTTTGTCAATTGGACAAATGTATTTAATTAACACTAATCCTGCTTGTTAACATTGCACACTAATTCATTTCAAAAACCTGATTAAAATTAAACATCTAATTTTCAAAGTAACCGTCTTGGCTTAAGAGATTTAATATCTTTCCATAGATGCTGGTGATGCTTAAAATATAAATTTTAACATATATTTTGAAGGGGGAAAAATGATCGATTTATATGATGGGGAAAAATGTGTTTATGTAATGATGTTTGGACATGTGAAAAATATTCAAAATGAGGCAAAGAAAAACTTTAAGAGTTTGAGGGATAATTAACAAGTGTTTTAGGTATATCAAAAGTCATTATCTCAATAAACACCATGATTTTAACAACAGAGAAATGAATGATAGAAGTATATTATTTAATTCTGTTTGAGACCAAACTAATGGTAATATTGTTTTATAAGAGGATCCTTGTGGCAAGTGATAAGCATGTTATTGAACATGACAGTACCAGCAAAACTAACTCTACCTCTACTGTTTGACTTTTTCAGGGAAGCAATTCCAATTGGAGTGCCTCTAACAAAAAAGCCAATGAAGATGGTGAAGCAACAGCGGTAAGGTTTAAAAGTTTCTCAATGCTTTTTAGTGCCATATCAAAAACCTTCTGATTGAATGATACCAAGGTTGTATTTGTCTCAACTTTCTGATTTCTTTCCAGGAAATTATACAAGTTCTTTGGCAGAATGTTTCATTAATCACTTCTTTAACAAAGTGTCTGACATCCTTACTCCTTAAATAAAAAAAACATCGAAGTTATCATTTCAAACTACACTGCTGGTACGACCCAGTATAACTGGCCAGTTGAACGCTGTATGATTTCTTGCCAATTCAGAAGGTGGTCATCAATTATTTTCCAAGATTTAAGATTGAAATTTAGAATTATTTAAGATTGTATTTTAATTTTTGGATCAACAAAGATATCTTAATAGACCAGGACAACAACAAAGTTATTAATATTTGGTTCTGTTATTTTAAAAACAAAAATTATGATAGTAGTTTGTGAAAGAATATGTGTATCTATTCCAATCGCTGCTAATCAAATCCAAGAATCTGATTAAAAAAAGGATGAAGAGTACACTTTCGGTGTTACTTCTTTAGCGATATGAATCTTTCACAAGAGTTAACCTCATAAATGAAGTGTAGATATGCATGCATCTTTTTGACATATAAATTTGTCATGTATCTTGATGTTGTGTACAAGTATACTGAGTTTAGTTGAGGCAATATGCTTCAAAGTGAATAGAATATTTATAATGTTGTTCCTTTTGAAACACTTGACAAAAGAGCATATCACATCAAATGGATAAAATCTTGCTGCTGGAAAGAAGAGAAATCTTTTACAGGTCTTCGTTGCCCAAAACTGCAACTTGTGTTAGAGGCATGGTCTCGAGGAGACTGCTGTAGATTGTAGAAATAGCTTGTCTGTCTCATGTCATTAAGAGTTTCCTAATTGATTTTGTTGCTATTTGTCATCATAAATCTGACATATTTAAGACACAAGTATAAAAACAGATAAATTTACTTACGGGTAGCTTTAATGTTGTGGACCAGTATGTATCACTGTAGAAATAATTTCATTTTGAAATTTGAGGCACAGAACTGCTGAAGAGAATTTCCAGGAATATTGAGGCAGTTCAAGCATAATTCCTCGTACTGTAGTACATCTTCCCACCAACCATCATCCACCTTTCTAACAATATATAAAACAATTAACATACAGAACTAACAATAACACTCCTTGTATTGTCCAAGAGGCTACTCAATTTTGCCAGATCTTATGGCTGCCAAAGACCATCTAATTGTAATAGATCACAATGGATAATTTCATTTTCTCTTAATTGTCAGTAAACAGGATAGGGTTGTAAACAAATCATTTACCTAATGCATTTTGTTATATAGGATACTGTGCAAGGATGAGGTGTAAAGAAAAAAACCTGTAGAAATGTTGCATTGCATTATCAGCTTAGGGTAAAAGACTGTTCTTTTGGTATGTTTGGCATGATTTTAAAATGGAAAGACTTTCTTTTAGACTGTGCCTCGTAATGTGTCCTTAAGAGTACAAAAAGTTGGCAAGGGACTAATTGAAAAAATTACAAAACATTAAAACGGTGAAAGCAGCTGCTCCGAAATGGTTTGATTTGTTCAGTGCAATGAAGATATCTAGCGAACAAATCTATTGTTTCAATTTCACGCATTTTTCCCTAGATACAAGTATCTATAGATAGATCTATTGTAAGATGTCACGACCCACTCTGATTTTATACACTGATAAAAAGAGGCTTTTATATAGCTAGTAGTAATTTTGTCAATGATTTATATACAAGGCGCATTTGGGACTATTAATAGCATTGAAGAAAAGCTGGAAATTTTGTGTATAAGGTGGCCTAAAATGTTCAGGAAGTGTTATTGGTTTTTTCTCCAGGGGAATTTCCGAGGTGCCAAGCATAAATCAATTTGATGTGGTCTCTGACAGTTACTTAGCCATAGTTTAACTTAACTGCTGAAGGTCGACAATTTAGCTTCAGATTATGTTGCATATATGCATTATAATTGCAAAAAATCCCAAGTATGTTATTACAATAAGGTTGTCAGATATTCCAAGTGTAATATTGGTCTGTTTTGAAGACATTACCACTTAATTCATTGCCATGGTATATTATGTATTATGTACAAGTCAGAATAGAGAAAGAATGTAGCCATGCCACCAAAGACACGATATCCAGCTACTGTCTCATGAAATCAAGCTCTTAGTTCTGTTTTAGAAAAACTAAAATTTGGCATATTCAAAAGGGCAAGTAAAAAATCCATGTATGTACACAACTGGTCAAAAACCTTTGAAGTGATAAACAAAGAATAATTATCTACCCATTAATGCACAGGAAAAAAATGTTCTTATTTACTGGTATTTTTGTGTTGCATAATTCGGTTAATAAAAACCACTGTATCATGTACACTTGGATATATTGATCTGAAGGTTTAAATGTATATCAACTCTTCTTAAAAGGTCTTGTACATAAATTTCAATTATCGGCTTAGTAATATTTTTATTCCAGATGTATTGCACTTGAGCTGGTACATTTCTCATACCATTTGAAGTTAAATTAGTCACGTTCTTGTTACTGGATAAGCTGGGTATTTTACAAATGTGCTTTATCTTGTGTGGAGAGTTTTATATTTGTCTGTGTACCTCAGTAAGTTTAGACCAAATGGTGCACATACTTGATTTTTTTTTTACAACAGCAAAACATAAAGTTTATAACAGAATATTAGTTTAGGAACAATGGAAAAATTTCCATTAAATCAAACCGTATTGTTAAGGTAATATCGAGATTTTAATGTTTAATCATTTTGCAAGTTATTGATCAAAAAGAAAAAAATATCGGAGGGTGTCAGTGAACAACTCAAGTCAAAAGTTAATACCCATAATGGGAAAGTAAAGGTTTAAAAGTCTTCATTCAAATCCCAACAGGTATTAGTTGATAATAAACTAACTGCTTATTGTTCCTGTTTGATCTGTTCTAAACCATTCCCACAGATAAACCATTATGTGAAGAGAATGGTCAAATAATGATATGAAGGTATTACTACTGATGGTTATGATCTAGAAAGGCCAGTGTTAGTATGTCTACCATTCACACCTGTGTGTTACAATGTAAAATTTATGTATACACCTGCCACTGGTTGGCTAATGACTACACCACCAGGTGCTAACAAAGCTGTCACAGTGGGTGTAAGTAGTACAGGGTCCCCTGGTGTGACTCGTCCTCAAGGGTGCTGAACAAAGGTAATTCATCTGCTGAATCTAGTTAGTGATTTAGGATAACAAATCAGTACTGAACAAGAATTGTTGGAGACTTTCTTGGAGCAATAGGGGTCATGATAATTTCTTAACTTTGTAAGATATTTGAAAATTTTATGGATTTTGAAAGGAGAAATGGGTATGTATGTTTCATTGAATTTATAATGATATATTATTCATTTTATTGAATAGAGAGTTGTAGGACATTCCGCAGTTTGTCCTGGGAGCGAAAGGCTATAACGTGCACTGTTCTAGGTGTAGATAATGAATGAAAATTGAATAAACTTGGCCCGACCCATTCAATGTCAATTGCCACTGTCTCTAATTAGTTGGTTAAAAATAACCACAATGCAAGAAGCCTTGTGAACCAAAAAGGTTTAATTTAGAGACCATGGAAAAGGCAGAAGTTGACTGGGGCAAAAAGATGTGCATTTGAAAATAAATTAGTGGAGAGAAACCACATCATTAGAATTATCAATCATGAAAGTATTTGTTTGAAATGATGGAGGTTTAACCCAGTGTACCATACCACAAAGCTAACAAGTATAACTACTCCGTCTTCTGCAGTGGTGAACATTAATCTTGCCTCTCTAGATTTTATGGCTAAAAACAAATGATTTGTACTTTCATGAATTGCCTTATCAATAACCATTAGAACAAGGACATTTCTCTTCCAGCCATTTTAATGGTCATGCTTTAGATGAGGGAAAGGTAGTTGCTTGTTGTTTTAATGGCATTTGTTATTAATGTTTAAGTCATTATGATAGGATTCTTTTGAATTAATTCTTTATATTTCAACAGAACAGTTTACCAGTATCTAAATGCAACATTTTAGATGTAATCATTCATGAAATTATTACACAATATATACTTCGGAATTATGTTAAAGATGCCATTTGACATGAAGCTGTCAGTAAAATTTTTTATATCTGTTTCACTTATTGAAAAACCAACATGAAATATAATATATAGAATCCTCTTTTCAATGAAGATACACAAGTTAATTGTAATGACACGCTGACATCTTGAAAACTCCATCTTCTGATGTCATTTTTCTCTCTTTTATTAAAAAAAAACTTGAATAAAGAATCTAATCACTAAAGTATAAGGCCATCCTTATAACATTCTCTGTTTGGCATTAACCAACCCATCCTTTGAGAACTTGGGTCTGTAGTAAGGGAAAATATTTTACTTTATTGGAGGGTGGGAAAAAAATTGTATTGAATTTTTTGTTCTGTTTAGCCAAGCTCACAAATCAAAGTCTGTAAGTGTTTATATGATGAAATAAAAAACACTAATATGCAAGATCTCTGAGTGAAGACCTAAAATTCTGGAAACAATATTCACAATATTGAGAAATTGAATTTAATCATTTATCATAAAATTATTTGAGTCTGGAGTGTATTTTTGGGGTTGGTAGGTCAATGTCACATGAACATACTTGAATTTAAGCCTTACAGCTTTGTCAGCTACATTTGATGATAATGGCCGTTCTTGTATCAATACCTTTTTATGTTCCATGCATGTGTGTGCATTGTTTCCTAACCAAGCTTTTAGTGGAAAAAACAATTTGAATGGGTTTTATTTGATGCTTATAATGTTTCTGATTCCTAAATGGAAACAGTAACATGCTGTTTAACTTTCTTTTCAATTTATTGTGTTTCTTAACAATAGAATTAATTTTGCAGAAACAGGTTGGATAGTATTTGTTCACGGTAATGATAGCAATTGTTTTTAAATGAATGAAGCTATAAC